AGTATAGACAGGACGGACATGTATATCAACAGCATTAACAATTGAATCATCATCACATACATTTTCATTTCCTGTTTCATAAAATAAATTTAACATATTTCAATATTTACAAAATAATAATATTGCTAAACATGTTTTTTTTAGTACGTTATACATTTAAATTATTAATTAAATTAAACTATAAATGATCATTATTCATTACACATTTTAAGCAGGTAATTTATTAACAAATTCATTAAAAATTAGTTTATTTATTTCAATATTTTAAAAACCACAAAATATTATTATTTTTCATTTTTTTAAGAAAACAGGGTGAAATAGATAATTTTAGAGCCATCATTTTATTAATATAATGTAAAAACGATTTATGGTCATAACTTATGAATTATAAATTATGATAGGCATAGGTACATAATATGATTTGAAAATATCCCACATTTTTTTAATATAAATTAAAATTAATTAGAATATTAGATTGGTACTTACTTTTTTTGCAGATTGTTGCATCAGTTTCAAATGAATATTGACGTTTTTTTGGGAAATATGCGGTCAAGTTTTTATTAGTATTGGTATGGGTTTTTGAATTTTTATGTTTTAAAACTATTTTACAGGATGATACATGCCTCTTCCAATTTGTCTCATTTAATTTTAATTTTTTTTTGCCACACAAGCAGACCACATCATTATTTAATGAGAACATTATTTTATGTTCTGAAAAATAGTTAGATACCATTAATTATTAATTACTATATAGGTACATCGATTAATCATACGCATACCACTTAATCAGACTTACCTGTTATTTTCAGTGTTTAAAGTAATAGAAAACTGCATAATTTTATATTAAAATCCGCGAACTATAGTTTGAGTGGCGAAAAAAAAGCGTGAAACAAAATTACAAAATGTCGACCATATGGATATGGTAGTAAACTAATAAGTAATAACAAATGATAATAACATAGTAAACAATCCAATTGATGTGTTATGACTTATGAGTTTAAGAGAATGAGAAAATAATAAAATATCGTAGTCGCACACTCACGTCTCGCACTGGAATATTGGATATTATACAGCAGACAGCAGTACGGACTACGAGCAGAGTATTACCATTGAATATTGATTAAAAATATTTATAGTATTTAATCAAATACGATAACAAGCGCTGGCGCTGTTTTCTATTAATAATTCACCAATAACAATATTATTATGCGGGTATAAGCAATCGCGGTCGTTGAGCAAATGTCTAGAAACAAACCAGCTTATCTGCGATTTCCTAATAATAATAATCATAATGCATTGCAACGGTTACAATGTAACCGACCAACAACAACCGTCTGCATCGGATAGACCGATATTTTTGGCGTACTGATTTACTTCTATAATATTAACGTGTTTTATGCTGTTGAGTGAGTGTAGCACACTAGCACGTACCTATTGTCTTACACAAATAAGACACATATTCTTATACGTATTAATATTTTCTATCATAAACCTAGTCACCAAGGTAGCTAGGGATTTTGTGCAAGGGGACCACCCACCCACCAAAATTTTGAAGGAGCAATTGCTCCAAAATAATACCTTCGCCACGCCACTGCTAAACATTATAAATAGTAAATGTTCAATATGGTTTTATTTAACACTATAAAAAGTAAAAAGAATTATGATACCTATGTAGCTTTTTAGTGTTTGTACGCCACAGAAGGAAAATATACTTTTGTACTGGTTGACGATTACCGATTAATAATATAAAAGAAATATACCTATTGATAGCAAATAGGGTATTGATGTCCATCAAATTTCTAAAATGTTTTATTTATCTTCTGTTAGAATTAATTATAATTTAAATATTCAACTGAGAAAATGTCTGTTATTTCAAACGTAAGTGCTGTAATAGTGTATTAGATTAGGCCTTAGACAATATGTCAATATAATGCTTAAGTAGTTCCGGCAGGCGGCAACGCCATCGATGTTACAAAAAAAGACCTTAGACAATGGTTTATGGGCGATGGGCCGCTTGAAAAAAAATTCCCGGGCCGCTCTGAAGGAGCCAGTCCGCCCCTGCTGGAGGCTATTAATGTCTTGCGCCTATGGATATTCATTTTTTGTCAAATAATAGTCATAGGATGTATGTAAAAATAAAGCAATTTTAAAGGTAATAATTTTATGTTTATGATCATTTTAAGTTCAAATGTTGATAATCAAATGTACAATAACAGTTTCATGGTCATTAAATGTAAATTTGGTACAATAATTACATTTTATCTGAAACGATTTTTATTATTATTCAAAAAAATAATACTTATCATAGAAAGTTGAAATGTCTTACTGTTACTTAATTATAATTTTCTATAGGTACACAATGCAGTTTTAAAAATATTTAGACTAATCTCTAGCTATGTATACCATAAACCTATTAACAACTATTCTATATGGTACCAATTTACAAGTAGAGCCCAAAACTTGATTCTTTTCTAGACTCGCCTTTATAAGGTGACCAGTGGCCATAATCACTTGGCCATCACGTACCACTCCCCTAAGCTTATTGTACCTTGTCCTTGCCTGGTGTTCTTTTTATTATTGCCTATATTATAATTTATCTGTTTTTTTACTAATTGTTATTGCTTTAAGGTCACTGTGCCAGATATTTTGTTCTAAGTAAAAAAATTAAAATTAAATACTTCAATACATTTTATTTTTTGTTAGTAGGCCATATTTTGGTCAAAAATTTTATAAGTAATGCATTTTCATAAATTTGTTCGAAATATTTAACTTTTGTTTCACTATAATAAAGTTTTACTTAACTGTATACATAAACAAGATATTGTATCTTTTTTTTCGCGACAGAATAATGTTCCTTACTGAACATTCTCATATGAGAAACCAACAGTGTTTTTGTTACATTACAAATCTCAATAACGATTAAGGAAAGAGAACTTTTTGGTATACGGAGAACAATCCAATCTCGTCTGTAGTTTACAACCTATTTAGAATGTAAAATTAACTAAACAAATAAATAAAATTGTCAAATCCATATTATCTTTATTTTCTTTAATATTTCTATAAACAATGTAATCAATTAGATATTCTAATAATGGACCGTTTGGCTGGTGACAAATACAATTTATTATTATTAAATTTACCTTCAAATATATTTTTTTTTACAATACAATTTTCAACTATCAAATCGCCAACAACGTTAAATAATCACTTCGCAGAATTTGTCATTCATTTGTTTATACAATTTTATTTTTTAATAATAATCAATGTGTCCTAATCATTAAATACTATGTACAAAAGAGAAACATGTTGCCCAAGGATAACGATTATCTTTTTTTTCTTTTTTTTTTTAATTACTATTATTATATAATATGATATGCCGAAACGATTATTCGGTTAACCGACCGATTTGTGTGTATAACATATTTTATATCTATACAAGCATAGAAAAAGCAAATGTTTGCAAGAGTGATTGTATTGTTTTTCGATTAAGCGTGAGCGACTCCGAAATGTTAATAGAAAAAAGGGGTGGAAAAAAATCGTACGAGCAACGCAAACTGGATGAGAAATATGCTGCTAACACGCTTATCCTCAAGGACGGGTACGTTTGTATAATATTGTCTTTTTTTGTTTTTATTTTTTACAAAAATTAAAAAAAAAATAGTACAAATATTTAACGCAAAAGTGATGTTCATCATCGGTCGAAATATCCTCCAGGTGGGGAGATAGGGGATGGTAACACAAATTAGAATAAGAAAGAAAAAAGAAAAAAAAGCATAAAAATAATATTTATATAAAAATAATAGTAGACGGGTACAAAAGGAAACAAAAAAAAAAAATTAATAATAATAAAGTCGGACAAAGAACGTTAACCTCCAACTAAAAGATTAATAATAATGATAAAAAAAAAGTCTAACTTAATTAGAAGTTAAAAAAGTAAAAAATAATAATAAAAATAATAATAATAATATTACAAATAATATATATAAGTATAAAATTAACCGTGGAACACAAAAAGGTATTATCCTTAAATACATCAGTCGATGGATTTTTTTTTATACAACGATATCGAGTCACTATGAGTTTAAAAATTGTCTAAATATACACGTTACGAAAGTTTTCGGTCTATACACGATCCCTAGAAAAATTGTCGATACATACACAGCACACACACATGTAGGTAGGAACATAATACTATTATCATATCGTTATTATCATGTGAAACGTTGACAATAATATATTATGCGTGAAATGAAACCGTACGGTATAGATTGCTGATGGTTGCAGTACGACGTATCGATAACTATTATACCGGGGTGGTTATATTTTGATCAGTACCACCGCACTCGGTTCGAACCGCGAATCGGCCAACGGTCGGGGGGAGAGGAGGTAGTCGCGTCGCTACGCGAGTCGAGTAATAAAAAACGAATAAAAAAACCTGGAAAAAAAAGTATGGGGCATTAAGTACAAAAAGAGCGGTCGACCCCGTTCACGCGTATTGCACTATTCGCATAATATCGTAATAATAATAATAATATTATTATGACGACTAGTACACAATATTTTAAAAGCACGCGTACATGGCGAGGCATGAAAGGCATTTCTCAACCCCCCCCCCTCACCCCCCAAACGCGTTACATACACGTGTGCGATTGTGTGTTCGTAGTGTGAGTGAGTATGTATATGTATGTGATGTGTTTCGAGACTAGATTTTTTACAACAGACGGACACTGCAGACACTAAATTGTGTGCGAGTGCGCATATAAGACTATTACATTATATATACGTTAAAGTATAGTATGTCTATATATACAGCCGACTAAAATAATAATAATAATTTTAATAATTATAATAGTAATAATAATAGTAATAATAATCTATATGTGGCGGAGACGGCGGCGTTCCGGTTGTCCACGTGCGCGTTTGTAAACGTAATAATATTTGTATTACATTTTAATTTCTCAAACCGCGTGCTCAGTGTAGGTGAACACGTCTGGCCTGTCTCAGTCGGAGTATTGGTCGAAAGACCCCAAGTACTCGAGGGCCGCCTGATAGCAGAACTGGTACTGTTCCTGTGGGAGAGAAAAACACAAAAAAACGGTTAAGACGGTGGTGCAATTCGAACCAAATTTTTTTTAATAGTAGTGCCAAAATTCTAGAGGGCCACGGGTTTTCAATGGTACCTACCAAGTAACGATTTAGTAGTACCCTTTTCTTCGTCACAGTAAATACAATGTATTATTTTATGGACAGAGTTGAAGGGTTATATGGGTACCTAATTATTATTTTAATGAATTAAACAAACTGGAAAGTTGGAAGTACTTAAGTGACAATTTACGGTGGCACATTTTAAATAACCGATACTAAAATACTACAAACATAACATAGACTTATTATGGTAATTTTAAGTTTCTTAAAAGAGTTGCCGTAGTTCATAAAATCGATAAAACAGTTTCAGTCTACAATTTTAACGGAGTCAACCTGAGTGTATTTAGTTGGTCCGTGGGAGGATGGGGGGGGGGTTCTATGTAATAATTTTTTGCTTCAAGACCAACCTCTGTCTGAACCATGGCCGGACGCTGCGTCCGAAGAATCCGGATCGTCTGGAAGAGATCGATTACGCCTTCGCATTGCATCCGCTCCAACACGATGCTCAGTGACACGAACACGCCCGTCCTGCCCACGCCGCCGCTGTAAATTTTTTTTTTCAAATAAATGTATCGATTTTTGACGGAAATGGAGGTGTAGTCATTCAATGTTATTTTAAGTCATCGTTGTCATACACCGGACGAAAACATAACACAATTACTACACCATCATTTTTATAATTTTATCATGAACACAACTTAATTTGAATATGAGATTTTTATTTTTAAATATTCAATTATTGTTATTTTTTTTGTGTTTATACCTGCAATGGACGGTGATCGGACCTTCTTGTCCGAATTGTTCTTTCGTCTTGTGCACTTGCCCGATAAAGTCTATGAACCCTTCGGCCGACTTGGGAACGCCCTGCTCCGGCCAGTCGGTGAACTGGAATTGCCTGACGGTCCGCGAACCGTTATCGATCGTGTCTGTTACCTTGAACTCCCTAAGTATGTACTGCGGCATGTTGTATTCAGTTATGGGCTCGACGACGAACGTGTCGTACCGGACGGACCGTTCTGATGGCCAGTACTGGTAGCATTTCTCCTGTAAATCATTCAAAAATAAATTATTTGACGATGATTTGACTGTGTGGCATCTATTTCTATAAGCACTCGAGATTCTAAGCAAGAGGTGAACTCCAACCACTTCCCCTACTCACAGAAACTATACTTGTACAGGGTGTATCACAATTCACAAATATCTGACACATTTAAATGTAAAACTGTCATACAAAAAAAAAAGCTGAACATTTACAGTCATCGGTATAACGATATTTAAACTTTTGCGTTCAACGTTCCGCAATGTTTGCATAAGCATTTTATGTACCAAGAACTGCAGAAACAGCTGTCGTCATGTAATTAAGTGTAATATTTTTAAGCGCTGCACTGATGTTTAAGTTTAAAATTTTAAAACGTGGAAAGAAGTGTAGGTACGGTTAATTTGTGCGATCGATAGATTAGTGCATCCATTAAAAATAACAGTATATTGACTTTATACTTCGTTTAGAATTTTTTGTGGAAAATGTAAAAAACGAATTATTACCGATTTTCTAATATTAAGACCTAGGTATGGAGGATCGTTGCACAATACAAATTGTAATCCAGCAATAAAAAAATTTTTTTGCACCATAAATTGGTATCTGGTGTATTATTATATTATTACATTTATTATTATAAATTATTTATTTCCATTATTTAGAATTTTCTATTTAGAAAATTATTACATACACAATGATTTTTCGGAAATTCGACCTGGCCTGCGCTTGGTCACAGATTTACAAAAGTACAATGGGAACACGTATAAAATGTATATATGGGCTCCATCATATTTAATAAAGAAACTTATTTTAGAGATGATAGGCTCCAATGCGGGTAACGCCGAGTAATCTTAATCATATAAAATATTATCCGATGTCTTTAAAATATTATAAGTTTTAAGGGAATGTTTTAGGAGGCCACTAAAAACTATCCATGGGGCCGGGGAAAAATGGTACCGTTGACTCCCTCACTTCCACTGGCCTGCAGTCAATTAACAGCGATATATCAAAACGGTTACATCCATTATTATAAGTTATAACTATATATGCGGTCGTCTCACCCTTCCCAACTCGTGCAGTTTGGTGAGCATGACCACAATGGTGGAGTTGTGTTCCCAAAGCATGCGCCAAAAGTCGTCGGTGGTGATCTGCAGAGGTCCCTGGGTCGCGACGTAAGCCCCACGCTGCCGGTACCCGTCTATGAAGTTGGCGTTTATGTAGTCCGATCCTTCCATGCCCCTTGACGATCCACCACTCAGACACACCCTGGTGTTTTCATAAGGCAACAAGTGCACTAAACGGTTTTTCGGCTTGTTCACGGGCAGACTGGCGCTGACGAATCGGCAGAATTCGCTTTTGACCAACGTTAATTTCTGAAACAGACATGATATTATGATTATGGCTCTTTACAATTTTTTAAAACATTATTGAACCCTCCAAAGTCTAAACAGTAAGACAGAAAAAGACATACACAAACAAACTAATATACATCGTCCAGGTTCCTTCTCTGTGGCCCCCCTCACAAAATGTACGCATTTCAGCTTATGTTCCAAAATTGAATAGTGTTATTACCTTGAATTCGAGTTCCATTCCGGTGACGGTCGTTCCAACGTCCATCTGGGACAACTGTTGGATGTGCATGGGTAAGTTGCGTACGGACACTTCTGTTTCGCCGCACGTAACGGCTTCCAAGAGAGCGTCGTGTATGAATATATATTGTTCTTCGGTCTGTCGAGAGAAAAACAAATAAGATAAAAACTTAATGTGATAGCCAATGCTTATATTTATAAACGAGTGAAGGGAACGACGTTCCCCGCGCGTTAAATGTCATCCAGACAACCTAAGTCTTACATAAACTCCATTTATATATGTCAGAACCACCATTTTTGTAAAAAAACAAACACTAATGCGAGGAACAGCTTATGTTCAACCATACAGTCTATCGGAAAACTATTAAAATATTTGTGAAAAACGCTTTTATGTAAAATAACATGTAAATACCGATATGATAATTTATAAAAATGTTTTGACGTCAATACAGATACGCAATGTTTATCTATCTGACCATATTTTTCTAACACTAAACATTGATTAATTCTTATTAAATTATTTACGCTTTCCAAGTTTTACTCTAATAATTATTGTTGAAATGTAGTTAATTATTGTTTATTTCGTTTAAAAACCACATCAAGTATTTATTTTTAAACTATTAGCAACAGTGTTTTTTTATTTTCATACTAATAGCATACTTTTTTATTTAAAAAAAGTATATTTACAATCTATACAAAACAATGTAAGTTAAGTGTGGTGACATAAGAACATTTGACATAAAAATAGTAACATTAATACTTAATAGGAAGGCTCCAAGCAGTGCCACCTGACCAGAAAAAATAGCATACTTATACGCGTAACATTGATCGGCAGTAAGATTTTACGAAACACGTTGATAGACTGCAACTAAATAGTAAATATTAAAGTTAGGCAAAGAGCAACAAGGGCGGCCATCGAAAAACGTGACGAACAAAAATATTTTGGCGTGCACTACCCCCACCAACCAATAATCCGACAGACAATAATGATCCGCGTACCTGGACCATGTAGTTGCGCTGGGCCCTGAGGCACGTGACGTGAGCGTAAATGTCGACGCTGTGCTCGTTCTTGGCCCGTTCTAGCATGGCGTCGATGACGATGAAACAACCGGTGCGGCCCACGCCCGCGCTGCAGTGTACCACCACCGGGCCGGACTCGACCAGGTTGACGGCCCGCACGCGCTTCATGAACTGCAGCAGTGGTGCCGGGTGGTCGGGCACGCCGTGGTCGGGCCACGCGCCGAATTGCAGCTGCTTCACCTCGCGCGTCTCCGCGTCGCCGGATCGGGTCAGGTGGAACGACCGGACCACGTAAGTGGCCAGCTCCTGGACGCTGATCAACGCGACCGTGATTGGCCCGTACGCCTGCGAGCCACGCGCCGGCCAGTACTGGTCGCACTTGACCCGGGTGCGCTCCTCCAGCTTGGTCATCATGACGATGGTGGATGTGCGCACCTCCCAGCACATGCGCCAAAAGTCACCGGCCGTCTCCTGCAGCGGGCCCTGCGTGGCCACGTAAGCGTTGTGCTTCCGGTAACCGTCGCAGTAGTTGGCGTTTATGTAGTCGCTGCCGGGCGAGCCGTCGGAGAGCGGCTGCAGCACCACCCGCGAGTGGTCGTACGCGATCACGTTCGCGTACCGGTTCTTCGGCTTGTTGACGTCCATGTTCGAGTGGTCCCACGTGAACTGCTGGCCCGGCTCGATCGACTCGTACTCCTGCGAGAACTTGAAGTTGTCGTTGGCCTTCAGGAGGTCGATGTGCTGCGCCAGGTAGTTGATGGGCACCGGCGGGTGCGACACCATCGCCGGCGTTTGGAACTGCAACCGGCGTAATTCCACCGGGTCGTTGTTCGGGTGCGAGTTGCCAATCAGCGGTTTCGTCACACCCGATGTCTCGCCGTATTTGCTCGGCCGGCGGCGCCTGTGGAACGAAAAACAAACACAAGCGCAATTTAGTACACCACGGTAGAAGATATAGATAGTCGGGGGGATCTAAGGTTACACAGTCTATAGTCAAAACGGGGGGGGGGGGTAGTTTGAAGGAGTTATAGGCTCACATTACTATTGTAAGTATTAATCCCCCCTCCTCCCTCCACAAATTTGAGCGAATTCCCGCCAATGGGCTACATCACACTATACCAGATATTTATGAAATTTTTTTAAGAAAAAATATCGAGCAATCCGCGTAAAAGCAGCCCTTGGAAAACATTTGTTCAAAATGTTCAATATTAAACAAACAATAGCTCAAACATTTTTAAATAATAATTATATTACTAGGTATAGTTTAATATAACATACGCCTTATATGTGTATTAGAATTTACTTAAACAAAATTCAACATACACAAATTGTGCATTAAATAGAAAATTCACAGTTATACTCGTATATATCAAATGCATGTAAATTGTATTTTTTTTTATTAAATAGACAACAGGCAAGAAACCATAATATGGAATGTTTGTTAGGTTTTAAATTAAAAATAACATAACATTTTCATAATATTTTTGTTTTATTTTATGTAGTATGTATAATAGAGCACTATAATTTTAAGTTTCTCAATGAAATTTTAATGTAATTAATTGAATTGCTTTATAATTCATGACTACATAATATTGAATATAAATACAAAAATGTAAAAGATACTATCAGTGGCGCCGAACCTTTTTTAAACCACTGGGGTAAACCTTGTTTAAGAGCACCCACCTACCTACCTTTTATACATAAAAGCAGTCACTCATGTCCCACCCACCCCCCTCAACTAAAAATGATCTGGGGTATTTACCCCACTTGCCATATGTGTTCGGCGCCACTGGATACTATCAAACACTGTGATTAAGTTCAAAATTAAAAATGAATAATATTCTAATTAATTATATACATAGGGTTTGACACTGTAACTACGTCATCCATTATAAAACTGTTTTCTAGTATTAACATAACTGCACAAGACATGACACAATAATTACTCAAAATAAAAATCAATGCAAAATTACAAAACATAACAATATGGACTGGATGACTAATCCACAAGGTCTAATTAATAGTATGTTTATGAGTAAAATTTTGACCGTGGATACTGGATAGCGAAAGTTAATTTATGAGAAAATAAAAGATTACTAGTGTATTATATAGTTCATTATTAAATATAATTTTAGTATGTGCTGTCAGTGTCACTTTATGTACCACATAAGAAACAATAAGATATCTATATAAAGTGTAATAGTAAAATAAATAAAGTTGTTGTATTAGGTGTAAAATGTTGTCATGGAGGCTACAACTCTATGTAGACAATTTTGAACAATAGACTATTAAATTATAGATTGCATGTGGAAATCTGAGAGGAATTATTTCCTAATTTACCATTCATTAGGACTATGCATATACGGGCATTATTGTTAAAAACTATAGTACTGTTCTAAACGTTAGAAAGAGTTTAAAGGTTGTGTCTGATAATGTACGAGTACCTATATCAAGTAAATTTAATGAAATATTTAATCTAATATTTTTATTAAATAATACTATGATTGGAGATATTAAAATAAATACTCAATGTATATCTCTATTATATACAAAAGTATTAATATTTTTATAATTCAGTAAACATAAATGTTACGGCAACTAAAAATAAAGAAATAATTGACGGTTTTGTATTAAAAGTGGTGGTTGAGCAAATGCAATAAGCATTGAACAGAGCTCCCTAATGTATTTAACAAACCAATCAAACTTACTTCTTAACCACAAACAATAATATTAATGCAGCAGTCAGCAATATTGCAGCGATTACAGGTCCAACCAGCCATAACAATCCTGGTGGAGTGGCGCTACTTCTGACACTCACATGATCATTTGTTGTTCCACTAGAGCCCGTGTTGCTAGGAAGGTTCATATCTCTTAATTCAGGTCGCTTGGGTACTTCTTCAGGGCCAACCTCACGCATTTCCAACGATATAGGCTCAGAGAATGGACTAGATGTGTATAAATGCTAAGAAATAAATTTGAGGTTAAATTAAATTATATATTATTGCAGTGTTAGTCTGGCTCTCCTAGCTACATGGCGATCACCGAGCCCTAAGTTTTTTTTTTCCAAAATCAATAATAATGTTAATTTTTGTATTTGAGTTTGTATTTGATAAGAAACATTTTATGTCAAATAAGATTTTGAATAAACAGCTTCAAAGAATTATGCAAATGTATAAAAACAATGATTACCTTTATATAAATTTGATATATGATGTTACACAAAATTAAATTATTAAAATTTAAAATTTAAAATTGAATTTTTCCTCTTTGAGTTCTAGATATTTTTTGTAATTTTGTTTGTTTTTAGTCAAATGTTTTTTTTGTTAAAATTAAATATTAAAAAGAGGATAACCCTAACATAATTTTGCCTAAACTTTCAATATTATTATTTATTTATCTATATTTAAAAACATGAATTTATAGTAACTTTTTTACATTTATAGAACATTTTTGTGATATTTTTTGATGTTTGTAAATTGTAAGTAATTTTAACAGTTTTTTTTTTATTAAGAATTTTTGGTCATCAAGTACCGCTTAGCACTGATATCTGTACCGGGACATTTAGCTCTTTGAAGTTAAGCTTTTACAATCTTTTAACATTTGTGATAGTAATAAACTATTATTTTTGCATTTATAAAAAATAAAAAATATGTACCAGGTAGCAAGTCATGAGCCAAACCAACGTAATTTATGTTGTAACACTACAACCTTAGTGTAATATTGCAAAATAAATTAATATTATTTACTTTTTGTGGGGTGTCAACGAATGCTCGAACAAATATTCTGTACTTCACATTTTGGTCTAGTTTTCGATTGAGGAATCCATCGTATGTCTCACCATTGCCTAAGTAAAATGTCCAAGGTATGGTTCTGTGAGGGAATTTAGCTGCGATGTACGGCTCACCCTCAGCTAATAACTCTTGTTGGGAAATTTCAACAAGCTAAAATTTAAAATAAATATATTAAATAACCTGTTAAGGGGATTGGAAGCGGCGATTTTCTGTCTTTATCTAACACACGTGGAACATAGGATTATAGACGTGTTCTATGTCCAACGTACCGATTAATCTAATGAAGCGATAAGAATTCTGAAAACAGATTTGAATTTGTCGTCAAGTCTACTTGAGATCGACTTTCCCACATTTTTGATATTGTCCCACCAAAATCATAAAAATGATATATTATAAAAAGTACTTAAAAAATTTACAAATTTCAACTTTTGGAGAAGTTTAAATCAAAAAATCAAAAATGTGGGGAAGTCGATCTCAAGTAGACTTGACGAGAAATTCAAATCTGTTTTCAGAATTCTTATCGCTTCATTAGATTAATCGGTACGTTGGACATAGAACACGTCTATAATCCTATGTTCCACGTGTGTTAGATAAAGACAGAAAATCTCCGCTTCCAATCCCCTTAACATATAAATTACCAAATTTGTATTAGTAATGTTTACCTTTTGATTTAAAAACTCATCTGGATTCATAAGCGCAGTGTCTGGACTTTCTGGAACAACTACTACGTAATAATGACAAATCGGACCATATTCTTCTGATGCTTGAGGTAATATAACCTAACATACAACATAAAACAAAGTTTATAAATGTGTATTTATTATAATTAAACAATTTTACTCACGTGTATTTTCTGCATGTTTACAACGCCGAAAAAATCAGGTTTGACCATTGGTTGTGGAGCGGCCATTTGAGTGGTAACGGTAATTCTTGAAGGGGGTCTATAGCTACGGTCAGATGGTACAGCGCTAACATTTACAGCATAGCTAATAAATGGCGATAATTCATCGATTGTATGGCTCAAAACATATTTGTCCAATTCTATTATTCGAGTTGGTACCATTTGCAACTGGGTTACGCCCTGTGAATCTCTAAATTCTTTAACTGCATTAAATGAGATCTTGTACCCGATTGGATTTAATTTGATAGGCGGAGTCCATGATAAAGTCATGCTGTGGGTGCTTACATCTGATGCACGCAAGTTTAATGGGACCTCGTCTGGTTTTACAATGACTGTGATTTTCTCGGACAATCTTCCAAAACCCTGTAAATCAACAAGTGTCAATTAATATGGTTAATTATAAAAAATAAAAAGAGAGGCAATTGAAATAAATAGATACTATATTATTTACATTATCGATGCGAGCTGCTACTGCTATAGCATACTGTGCCATTTTTTCAAGATTAGCAAGATCTGTGGATTCGGTGGCTGGAACATCTTTTACATTCCATTGGTTAAGATCTTCAACTGCTGTCATCGTATAGTAAATACGATAACCGTTGATTTTTACTCGCACAGGGACAGCTTCCCACCACACTTGTATACTTTGATCTGATGTTGCTACAGCCTTAACACCCATGGGAGCACGAACCATTTCTCTAGTAGTGTTTATGGTCATACGTGGACTCCACGGCCCTTCACCTTCAGCAGTCACTGCTCTAACGGTGACAACATATTCTGTGGCTTCTTCTAAACCAGAAAATACCGCCTAAGACAAAAAACAAAATATAATAATACAGTTAAATCTGCTAATATTATAACAAATATTTAAGGCACACATAGGAGGTGGTACTTGGCTGATATAATTTTACATTACATGCATATAATTTATCATAGTTACACACGCACACACTAATTTAACTGAATTCTTATTCATATTTATTAACTTTTAAATACTTATTTGATGTTATTATCATTGGAATTTGATATTTAAAAATAATATTAAAAATATAAAAACTATATTTTTAATATTTTTAAAAATTTAAAAAAAAATTAATTTTATACTATTAATTGATAACATGTAACAATGACATATTATTATCTATTATAGCAGCCTAATAGCTTTAGGTTGTAGTTTATACATTACATATGTTAATTATAATTAAAAATCAAATAACTTTTCTTGGGTAAATATAAATTTCAAAGTAACTTATGTTTTTGTTTAACAATTTAACAACTAATGTAAAGTTTAATTTTTAAATTTTGAATTTGTCAATAAATGTTTAATGTACACAAAATATTAATTTAGAGATAATTATGTTAAAAATGATAATTTTACACTTCTAGATTATTCTTTGGTAAGGGGAAAGCAGATCTTCACAAGTCACTCATCAAGACACGCTAACTGCTAACTATAATTGCTAGTATCAGATTTAATTTATTAAATGTTTACACTCTGCATACCTTTTTCAGTGTGGTATTTCTATGTGTGATGGTAGACTGATCAATTTTTTTGTGAAACTGTACGTCATAGCGGATAATCTGTCCGTTGCGATGTTCGCGAGACGGCTCGTCCCACACGACACAAACCACGTCGGGTGTTTGAAATTCGTACGACACGTTTATCGGCGGACCAGTCGGTGGGCCTTCGGGAGTGTTAAAGTACTCTGTGGCTTCTTGGCCAAAGCCCACTTGGTTTTGACCAGATATGTGAAATTCGTATTCAACGCCGCGTTCTGAAAAACAAAATTAGATTAGTATCCACTAACGAACAATCAATAGCAAACTTTAGGTCGACCGATCAAAACGCCACGTTAGGATATATACCTAAATCAGTGATGCGCCGCTTGTTCTCAGTCATCATGATCTCGAACATTTCCTGTCCCCTGATCCCGTAACGCAATTTGTATCCCAACAGTTCGCCGTACGTGTTCGTCGGCCTGGTCCATTCCAGTTCGATGTTGACTTTTGGTTCTCGTTCCAAAACCCTGCAAGACATCGTGGTATAATTTTTTAGAGCAAAATATCGCATTTGTTTCCGTCGCAAGCGTATATGAACAAAAAATATAATATTTGGGAATTATTGCATTTATTTAGTCGGGGACTGTCGTAAATATTAGTACTTGAGGTTCACGACGGGCCGAACAGGTACGCCGCCGGGCGTTTTGATTTTGGCAGGATAACTGCGGTCGCCGTCGCCCTTTCGAGTGATGGCCGCCACCTGGATCGCGTACAGGGTATCCGGTTGCAGGCCGGTGACGTTGCTCTCTAGTGCGTCCGTAACGTCAAATCTCAACGGCTCGTTGAGCAGTGCATTGCCCTGTGGTCAAAGAAAAACGAAGCGGATTAGGTAAACAAAAATAATTGCGAAATGATGATCGATATCGGTTTATCCAGCGACAACGCTTACCTCGGGCTTGGCTTCTTGGACGTGTATGTGATAGCCTCTGATTATTCCGTGACGGTCCTCTTCGGTGGGCGGTCGCCACTGCACGTGTATCGTCGTCGAGTTGACGGGCAGTACTTTGACGTCGGTAGGAGGTCCTGGCACTATTATATACCGATACACATACATGGCGAGTTAGATATGTTTAATATTTAAGAACGTTTTACGGAACGTTGTGCAAACAAGCGAAATGGTAAAAGGATTAAAACATGATCAATTCCTTTTTTTTACATCCATTTGACTTGCGTCACTCCGATAACGTCCATCGCGTTTTGGTTGCGAGAAAAAATAACGTTATCGGAGTGAATATTATATATTATAATATAGGTAATATAAAAAAGTAAAAAACAATTATATCATTTCAAACAAAAATCAAAATTTGGAAGGTGAATAAAAGATAAATAAATCGGGGTTACACTATTAAAAAAAAAAACCAATAAAATTAAATGATTAGGATAACACAAAAATAAAAAAATACATTTAAGGATTGTTATATTGATCAAAAATCAAAATCTACCAAAAAACTCTGGTTAAGTACTGTTAAAAAATATAAGTAAAAGGAAAAAAATCCAAAAATATTAAATGTATCGCCGAGCTAGCCAACGGACGATCACTGCTACGGGGTGAGAAAAAAAAATTAAAAACCTTATTATTTTCGTCCACTACTACGTTTTGGTTGCGTTGATATTTGTGTACTCACTATTCATTTCTGGACGACCAGATCACCACGGGGAGACAGACACGACGGTTTCGCATAAAAAATAGTGCGAAATCGTACCAAAAAGATACAATAAAAATACTTTTAGTGTCAAAAATACAAAAAACAAAAAAAAAATATAAATACGCAGTCGTATTATATATTATATAAATACGTGTGTGTAAAAATGATGTGCGTAAAAAAATTGTCGAGCTGCCAAAATACAAAATGTGTGCAGCGTTACCAAAAAAAATAATATAATAATAATATATATATAAATATATATTATTTGGGAAAAGACTTCTGTCCGGGAGACGGAATAGAGCTAGGGTGTATGTATTATATAAATATAATAAAAGAGAGACGAGAAAAAAGTGTGAAAAAGAAACACAGCAGATATATTTATTACGTACCTACGGATAGTATGTTTGGATCGAGTGCGATAAACAATTGCACGCACGCATGTCATCGAACAATTCTTGTATATACGTAATATACAGTGTATACTGTATATATTATATAAAGTGATATTTTACAAAATATATTATATATACAGTGAAGTACTGAAGTAATCAATGAGGGATAAAATCCACCACTCCACCCAGATTGCCTTTAAAAAAATCCTTAAAATTATGTGTTTATATACACATTTTGAATTTTTTAACAAAATCAGAAGTGATTGATTTAAATACGTCCAATTAACTTTACATTTTACTCATTATTTGACTAAAATAAAAAATAACATAACAATAAACGTCATATTATTATTATAAATAATTTAGTTTTGGTATAAGATATGATGACAGCTTCTTGGGAATTTGTACCTACATTGTCTAGATTTTTCCCCATAATTGATCTTATAACCCTCAATAAAAAAATCTTGACTACTTCACTGTATAGATATAATAATATATAGATATTTTATTGATAAATTGGTTTACATTACAATAATATATATTATTATGTGTACAGTATGTGTGATTATCCAAGCGATGTGCATTATATTAACTTAAAGCCGTGTATTCTAGGTGCAACTTAATGTTATATAATATTATAGTGGTGCTCGAAATTCAAGTTCTGACCCATAACCATGTATCGACGCATATTATTGTTGTTGTTATATCTATATAAGCGCACATTATTATAGAGCTGGCATTATATATAATTATATCGACGATACAATAACAATTAATTTGCCCGAATCGGAATTCGACGAATATATTATGCTCACATGATATTCAACAGTATATTATCATCGTATACCATGAACATAATATACCGTAGTCCAGTTATACTAGTCATAAGTATTAATTGTGTCGTGGGTTACGTATCTAATTAATTACTCCATCAGAGTTTATAGATTGTTGACCGAACACTAAAATGTGTAATGATAATAATATATGTATGGTACATTGGCGAAGACGAAGACGTAATTCATACGTACAATCTTCACTGCCTAAACCTATCTTCAGGGCCCGATTAAGACAGAACTAATAGGTACCTGCCGGCAAGGATGACCGCGGCGATATTTTGAAAGACGCCACAAAATCCCCGTCATGAATTCTTGTCACATTAATTGTCCGATGAGAATAAAACGCGATTGTCATTTCAGGAGACGTTCCTCGCAGATGATTAGAACGATACGAGCGGACCTTAAGCAGCGAGGACCAAAATCATATTCGCCGTCACTCACGGGTCGGGGTATTTTCATTTCTATACCTATATAGTCTATAGTTAGTGTGTATAGCTTTTATTTCTAGAGCATTAGACCTGAAGTAAAGTCATTCGGTATTATTGTGTAAGACGAGTACAACAATGGTCGATATATAGATATAGAATATAGATACGACAAAAGTATGATAGGTATTGCTTAAAGATTGCGCTCCGACCTATTAGATTTTTGTTATCGACGATTGCGCGCGAACAACAAATATTATGATAACGTAATAATGAGAAATCGATCAACACGAGTGCATATTATACATAGTGCAGGGTGATAGCGATACGATATGATTGTCATGGGCCAGAACATCGTGGTGTAATGGTGCGTTGTTTTAAAAACAAAAATTTATTTTATTTTAAATACTCTACTGTGCTCGTATATTAATAATTATATATACCTATTGTGCTGTATCACTGTGCGCCCAAAAAATTAAAAAAAAAAAGAACAGCGGATATAGTGCGGTGTGAAAGAAAGAGTGAGAAGTAAGAAAAAACTCAACGCGTAAAACGAAGAGATAAACAACCACCCGTACTATATTAATCCGTATCCATATCCGCGGCCGTCACCACTATGATTGTTGTAATTTAATACGATAATACATCGGCAAATACACATTAAATATTATGTATGCAAATTAACAGTAATTGCTAAAATATGCGATATGAGTGGTATAATAGCAGCGCCATGTTCAACGAAGTGGAGGGGGAATGGTGAACATTTTATCAATGACAACTGTTAGTTCTGGGTGAAAAAAAAATATATTTCAAATTTAATTTTTTTACATTTTTAATCGTTAATAAAAAAAAATCTTCATATTTCAACGTTTTTAAAATTATTTTTTGTCTTTGTTTGATTGATTTTCCTTCTCAGACGAGTGTCTGATTTTCGCAATAATTCAGGTTTTTCTTTTCATGTATATTATTTTGGATATTTTATGTGAAAATAGACCATCATTAAATCTATCATAGAAAATAACGATGTGGAATTGTGGACATATATTTTACAAAAATTGTTTCATTTTTTTTTTTATTACACGACTGCTGATAAATAAATTATAGAAGCAGTGTTTGCGAATGCAATTTCAAGTTTTTTTTTTTGGACGGACATTTTTTTAAACATAGCACTGCGGGGTAATACATTGCTAAAATAATATACCATTGGCGAAGAAGAAGAAAAAAAAAGCACGACCTCCCTACACCTAAACGCATGGCGAAGACGAAACAAAATATGTATCATATAATAATATTATTGCAGCGAGAAAAATAATATTATGTGATATATTGGTCCCCCCGAGCAGAAATGATATGCTTAGTATTATATTTTATTAAGTCATAAATTTATAATTTGGCCTCGTTAACTTGTATTTGTGTGTGTGTGTCACGATTGTCATCGCATTATTTGTGTGTTTGTTGTGTGTGTGTGTGTGTGTGTGTGTGTGTGTGTGTACAAATGGAGGTTATATAGCGACTGTTGCGTGTTTGGTGTGAGAATATGCTTACCGTCTTCGCGGGTGCGAACCGTTAACGGGAAAGAGGACGGACCGTCGCCGACGGAAGTGCCCGCCAGCACCCAAATCTTGTACTCGGTCCACCGTCTCAGGCCTTCCAGCGTGTACGCAGTGACGTTCTCCACCCGGAACGAATCGGCTTCCGAGTCAGACATACCGCTCTCCGCGGCCATCACCTTGTAGTAGATTATCTGGCCGTTGCTCCGGTCGGACATCGGAGGCTGCCACTGGACCTGAATGGACGTGGGGCTAACGGCCTCGGCGGTCACATTCTGCGGTGGCGCTTCGGGCACTGTGACGGTGTGAAGCAGTAGCAGTACACCACGGGATCGGGGGAAAAACACACAAAAAGTCGTGGTGAAGAAATAACAAAACAAAAAACAAAAGAAAAAAAAATACAAATAATAATAATAACGACGAAAACGAAAAATAATATTACCACCACGAGACCGTATTATATTCGTAGGTATAGGATGAAAACAAAACAAAATAATAATAAAAGACGACAAACATCATCGATGTAAATCCCCTCGTTGTCGTTGAGTACACGATCAATTGTATTTTTGTTTTTGTTTTTTTGTGTTGGATGGCGCGCGCGGATAAAACCCGTACGGGATGGTAGTAGGTGGTACTACGCTCCGATTCAAACAAAAGTAACATTACGATTTATATATATATAAAAACCAACGTGTATAACAAATCTATATATATATAATATCGAAGTATGTGTGCTAGTGCATATTCTAACGTCATTAAAACACCGAGCTGCGTCCGACTCTGTGTACACACACGCGTATCAGGCATTAAATTATATTATTATTATAAAATACTGCCAACACGCCCGATCACCATCTCGCATAAACTAATGCAACATATACATGTATATATAATGTTGATATAAAAAATATATGTATAAAATAGAGTACTTGTATTATATATCCAAGTGTATAGGTATATTATTATATTATGCGAAGTAATTTTTTTTTTTTTAGGACACTTGTTATTATTGTATTTCTGGTACTCAAAATGTATTTATTTTGTACATAGGGTGTACACGGAGGATTTGAAAAGGTTGTACTGAAATGAAATTGTACGTCATACGTCCCAAATACATTCTGTACAACGCCAAAGACTTAGATACTCTCTACATTATAATTACATACATCGTAAATAGTATATCGAAGGTTTTTTGTAGTACAGAAAAATGTTTATTCTGAAGATATTGATGCGTATTGAAATGTGAAACGTATCGTAGCTAACCTAACCTATAGTAGCACACCAAATATATAGTTTATTGTTTATACGGATTTAAATTGAGTTTAAATTGACCCATCACAATAATATAGTCTTATAAAAACCTCGAGTGCCTATTGTTCAGAAAAATTAAATTAAATTGACCCTATTCACTTTGCCCGCGGACTTCTCTGAGATTGTAAATGTACAAAAATAAAAACTAAGGCTCCCTCCACCCGTCGTTGATAGTCATAAATACGTCATTGTTGCTTAGTGCCACGGGGTTGTGGTGTGGCCAGTTCAAAAAAAAAAAAAAAATCATCCCGCATACTATATTGTTTATACAATTTTATTCATTAACTATGAGTAATTTGATTTTGCGTTCTCACACCTCACACACGTCCTCCCAGTGTTTAGCCGGGGAGCAGCTCGGCGCGATCGGTAAACAAACACTCGTGCATGTGTCGCTTTCTTCCGGTGCGTCGTGGTGTGCACTCTATATTAAATTATTATTATTATGATGCCGGTCGCGTTTCCTCCTACCTGCAATGCTTTCCACACGATATACGCGTATAATAGCCGGCCGAGTAGAAGACTCTGAGACGCGTGTTTGCGTCGGCGACACGCCACTCACTTACCGTATTGTTTGGTCCGGACCTGGATCGGCGGTGTCGGTGCCCCTTCGCCACGTTGCGATTTCGCCGCCAGCCACACGTAGTATAGCGTGTTCGGATATAGTCCGGTCAACGAGTAGTTCTCCGATACCGGTATGCGTCGATGATGCTTTTCCTGTAGCAAGTACAAGAGGCCGTTACAATTTTTATTTTATCCCGTTCCGAAACGTTATATTATTATTGTTTAACATTACGTTATAATTCAGGCACGGTATTATCGTATTTTTGTTTATAAATACTAATATTACAAACCTATACAAAATTATATTAAAGATTGATCAAGTTCGAAACTATAGAATGTAGCTGAGTTAAAATCAGTTTTATGATGTGAAAAATTAGCGTTTGAAGTCGTAGACGCAAACGTCTGATTGCGAAAACTGTGTGGATCAACGACTGCGTTGTCAGCTGTTTGATAATCAAATTTAAAATCGTTACGGCAGGTACATCGATGACTGTTGTTAAAATATGTTAGGTATTATAAAATGTCACAAATAAAAAAATGGTTGAAATCATGAATTTACTTATAATTAAAAAGTTCGTGAAGGAGTTAATTAAAAAGTTGTAACTAGAATAAATAAATATCTATGGTTATTATTGTTGTATCAACCTTGGCGTATGTATCGTTCCAGTAGAGTTCATAGCTGAGAATTTGTTCGCCGACTTGATTGGGTTTAGCCCATTGGAGTCCAATAGACGTTTCACCGATTTCGTTCACTCGCAGGTCTCTTGGTTGACTGGGGCACTAAAATTGTATTTTTTATTAATGAGTGCAAACGGAAATTCCACAGAGGTGGTGAGAACAACGAAACAACGAGATTTGGAGAAACACGATAATAGTTTAAAAACAAAAGACGGAACATTATGCAGTAGCGGGTAAATGAAGTTTTAGAATATCAAATTCACGATAATATTATGAGATTACCAAATAGTGTAAAAATACTTAAAACATTAGAGAGTTGTGGATATTGAAAAATGCATCAATATATATAAAAAACACACCTCTATTTGTGTATATACTGTAGGTAAAAAATTGTACACATAGATGTAAATCCTTTTTCAAATATACCAAAAAAATTTTAGTAATCCATAAAAGCCAACTCGGGTACCTATATACTCGAATGTACGTTTTTGACACTATTCACTTTTGGCTTCTTGCGTTGACACTAAAATTTTTCTTCAATTATGTACGATAAGTATTTTTTATACGATTTTATTACGATATAAGTAATAAAATTACGATCACACGGCGTCTTGAATAGGCAATTTCTACATTGGTGAAATATATCACGAAGATAATCACGAAAAACATTCTACATTTCATTTAATCATTTTGACAGCAAGAGTTTGATTTTTTTTTTCATACGGACAATAACTTTATGTTAAATAAGTAATTCAAAATAGCATATGAGATGTCTTATAAAACATTCTTCTAATTTTATTTTATAGTATGGTGTTGTATCTCTAAGTAAGTAATAGCCGATCTGCGCTAACCGTTTTTAATGTTTCTAATATGGAAACAAAAATAGTCGTAAGACTTCAATTAAAATTAAAAAAATCTAATCGGATTTCGGAATTGGGGTCGTTTAAATGTTCTAGTGACAATCTCCTCTTATAATGGGGTCAAAAATCTATATGATAGTCAGAGACGTCTAGTTGTCTTATTCGCAGACCTTAGCACACTAAAAATCCCGCGGTTATATTTACCTCCTTGTTGCATTTTAACCTGAACCGGCGATGATAAAGGGCCGGGTCCGACGCTAGTGAACGCCTGCACTCGTATGGTGTAAACGGATAGAGGTGTCAGTTCGTTGATGGTCGTCAACTGATTGTTGTCAACTACCATAGTATTCCACGACGACAGTTGCTGGTCCGGGTTTACAGTGTAGTACAACTTATAACGCTGAAGACCAATCGAAAATACTTCAGTTATAATATAATATACGACTGCTCATTTAAAGCACTAGAGAATCATGGACTTGCTGTCCGGAGAAACTCGTTTGCGAACATTTTTACTTTTAGTCAGTCATTAAAAATGTATACAGCATTTTTCTTCTATGATAATTTTTAAATTTTAAATATTTTAGATACGCGTACTTAGTAAAAAATAGTGTTTGGAAATAAAACATTTCAAACTTCATGATTATCTAATTTTTGGGAGCCTGGAGATACCTGTACTTTAGATTAAGATAAAGGGATACTTGCAAATTGGGGGAATAATTTTTCTACAAAAAGGGGTAAAGTTTTTCTGAAAAAACAAGAAAATTGGTCTAGATTTGATTCTGTCTTTGCTTTTTTTTCAAGAAAATGGCTACGGTTGTATGATTAGGTATAGAATAGCATATTAAGGGTAACAAATTATTCAAAGGTACTCAAATTATGTGTGCATAAACAACCTATAGATATTTCCATAAACGAGTTGAAGTCTTACTGTCCCCCGTGCAACATATTATATGTAGGCTGAACATTATTAGGTAGCTAAACTACAATTATTATTGTACTCACAATCACTTGACCATTTGGCGTCTCGGGTTCTTCCCATTGTATGACCATCGTGCTTGAGCTGAGCAAACGTACTTGAATATTCCGTGGAGCGGATCCAGGCTCTAAAATTAAACAAAATGTCCGTGATGTCTAAAACGTAATATTACATAATACTATAGTGTACCACAGAAGTGTTTGAACTTTTTCTTGGAATCACTTACTCGATTAGATTTATTAATTTTAAAATTAATCAATAAATTAAAAAATAATTTTTTACATCAAAACTTCAAAAAATATTATTGACTATCATTATATAATTATTATATAATTACTCATTCAAAAAGTAAAAAATATTGATCGGAATAAAAGTTATTATATAGTTAGTTAATAACATTTGTCAGTTTTTTGTTACACGCCATATATAATTTTGGTTGAGTTTCTGTAACTTTCACGGGATATGGCGACAAAAGGCTTTGGTTTATTATAAAAACATTATCAATTTAAATAATAAGAAAATTATGTTTCCATTATTGTCCATTTATTTTCAATTTGGGTCATGGTGAATATTCTAATAATTTATATTTTATAAATTATACGATTTTTTGAGTCATGTAAAATTGAGTAAATAATTTCAACCTATGTAAATAACAATAACCCACAGTACAAAAGTTCCAACTGTGATACACCATGTATATTTCCCGTAATCAGGTAATACGTAGTAATAAGTGATAACTTAAGTTAAAGAACAACTAATATTGTAAATATTACGAGTACACTGTTTATTATTCAATACTATTTGTCTGGATAGTAGTGAAACATTTTCATAATAAAGCAACTCTAATTATATAAATTATAATAGTTATATACAATATCAATAAGTGTAACTTTGAAATATAAAAATTAAAACAATTAAATTATCGCCTTATAAATATCATCTACTTCCAAAAATATATTTAATTCTCTCGATTGGATCAAATAGTGAGAGCTAGCTGTAAGTATTTGGGGTATATAATGACTAGTTTCCAAACTAAAGTAAATTGCTTTTTTCCACTACAAAGAAAAAGTTTAGATTAAAACGATTTCAAAGTGTGATAGTAACAGTTTAAACGAAAAATTAGTAAAAACGTTTATTTCAATTTAGATACACATTGAAAGTATAAAGTTTTTAAATTTGTAATTATAAAGCAGCTTTTTTGAATTTGTATCGCTAATTACTAATAAATTAATAAAATTAAAAGAAATTATACTTTAATTACAATTCAAATTATAAGTTGGTAGAGCCCGAAAACATAATTTATTTTTATTTTATTAGTGCAATATTTAGTAAATATATTTTTAATGTTATAATATGTATATTATTGATTATTATTTATCGTTCGGTTTTATAAAATAATTCTGTCATAATCAGAATCTAGTTTAATAAAAAAATATAGATTTTGATAAGATATTAAGTTAGATAGGAAATGCATATAATTTATTAATATACGTATAAGTAAGCTGGTGATATAATAATAATAATAATAACTTTTTTTTTTAAATATATAAAATATTTTGTTGGGATTAAATTATTCAGAACTATTTGATTACGTATTGTAAAATAATTATTATTTGTTATTAGTTTTGTTGTTTATTATTATATACTGTGCACGGAAAAACACCTACATTAATGTTAGTAATAAATTGATCATCGGTATAGTAAGATTAAACTTTTATACTAATTTGAGTGTTTTATCAAAAATATTTTGCAATGAAATAGTGTGCCTATGTTTTATGTTTTGACTACATTATAGTTCAAAGTATAACAATTATAACATGTTTCAACCAAAACTATTTTAATATTATTTTAATAATAATTTTAATTTTAAATTGTGGACGAATTACAATGATGTATTTTTTAGGCATTAAAATACAACAAAAATTAAAAATATGAAAAGTAAATTGTTTTATATTAAAAATTTCATAACAGTAAATGAAAAAAAAAATATTTTCATTATTCGCACAATGAAGTTTGTATAAAATTAACAATGGAAAGTTCAGTTAGAGAAAAAAACTTAAAATATGTGACTAATTGAATGTTTATTATTTTATACAGCACCTATTATAGATTTAATTTAAGTTTTAATTCGAAAAATGATATTCATATATATGCACGCATAATCAGAATAAATTATGAGTATGCATATCGTTTTTGGAAATGAGAACAAAACTTTTATCCACTCACGGAATTGTATATCCGTAAAAGGAAATTAATCAATTCTAGAAATTTCAAGGAAAATTGAATTATTATTTAAGCATTGTTAAACCAAGTTTGATGGCATTCGGAAATATAGGGAATATAATAATTATAGATTAAGTTTGTTAAATAATATACTTATAAATATTCGCAGCTAATTTTTATAAATCGATTAATGTTAGTGCATAAGTGTTATGCGTTATATATATATATATATTAGCACATCTAAAACGAGAAAATTAATTTCGCAGTTAAAAAGGCATAGGCAATCATATTATATATGTCATAGATATGTGTACATAATATGATATATTGAATAATAAACGACAAGGTTGGTTAAAAATTAAATCTAACTTACTTGCACCTTCACCAAAAGCAGATAGGCCCGCTAGAAGAAAAAAAAACAGAAATATAAGAGTGAGAGAGTTAAAACAGTACATACCTAATATACATATACACACAGGAACACGCCACGCGCATATATAAATAATGTACATACGAGCCGTGTGTCCTGTAAGAGCTGAAATACGGACCAAAAGTCCAGTATAACTCTCTCGGTGTATACACATATCATAGAAAAGCGTTTTCAAAATATAAGTGTATTCAATAGCCCGATAAAAACCGGACGTCTACGATGATGAGATATCTATATAACTATTATGTATATACGTGCGTATATATATATAATATACATATTATATACATGTATATATACGCTGCAGTGCCGTTCTTCAAAAGCTTTTACACTAATGAAACAGAAGTTTTTCATTCCTGTAGGTACCTAGTTGATATAATTTGACGCCTGTGTTATTATTATTATCTTTTTTTTTCCTGTCGCCAGTCTCGGCCGTATCCTATGCGCGACCACCGTTTTGTCGTCTATATACAAACTAATATCATATAATATAATACATGACACCTGTATACAAACACCGGTACACCGTACACACACACACGCCAATATATATTGTATGTATGTGTATATAAGTATATAATGTACGCACGTCGCGTTTAATTAATATACAGTTTTAATTTTATACCATGTTTACAGCGTTTACACAATGGTGTAATTATAACAACAGCGATTTTGTAGACAATGAGCTAAAAAAAATTCATTACGTAATCGCGAGGTTAGCTTTACACGGGTGTGGTGGGTAGGTGTCTAGGAATATAATAAAAATAGTAATAATAATAACACAATGTATAACCGCACTATCCCTGGCACCAGTCAGACAGCACCACCACCGCCGCCTCAGCACAGCAACAACAGAAACTGCAGCTACTTTTCGTGGTCGAAAGCTGCGACCCGGCGGCGGACTAAACGTTGTTATTATTATTTTAATATACATAAAATTTAACTTTTCATTATACGTTTAATAATAATAATAAGTCGACTTGTGTGATATTATTTTTTCTAAAATGGAGGTCACGCAGAGGATAAAAACGTTAGTCGCTATATATATTATATAAGCTATACGCGGCCCCGTATACTGTATATTATGGTAGCCGCAACCACCACCACCACCATCATCTCACTTCAACTGTTATTATTTTTTTTTTCGGCACTGTGAAAAATATATAATAAAGGTGTACAGCAGCAGTATTCTTGGAGGTGATTAAATTGAATGCCTTCGTCAAGAAAATGCGTGTAAAACAAGTTATTAAATCGTGCTAACGCGGTCGGTTGAAAAGCTTCGAGTTTAATTCGATATCACGATAAACAGTAATTTGCGCCCTTTGTCCGTCGGCCTTAGAATATTATTAAAAAATAACAATATACATATAAGTTACAGCCGCTATAAAAGATCTTTGTTTAGTTTTTAGAATCCATGTCCGATATATTATCAGAGATGCGTTCACGTAGGAAGTAAATATAAATTATAATTATATGTCGAACAAAACTATAATAGAAAGGCAAATAACAATAATGACCATAAAATACAATACGATAGCTCCAAGTGTATATGAATAAGTTTTTCGTGCGTCATACGCCGTATAGGTTTTCGGCGGAAATTTACGATTTTTAAGCGGTGGACGGAAGAGTAACGAGTAGAATCTCGTCCGTATTAAACGAGTAAATTACAGTAGAACATTATAATTATTGAGAGAAATATACGCTTTCGGTATATACGAAATATTATACAGCCGAGTTGAAAATAAAATACTCCACCAAGGCACAGCCGATAGTATGAATAGTGTGTGTGTGCTCTTAAGTTTTGAAATCAGATATGCATAAAGGGGTTGCCATCATTTTACGTTATGGTTATAAACTTTGATAATTCGATAAACATAATGTATGTATAGTACCAAACTTATTAATTTAAAAAACGTTTTATATTATTGACGTGCTTTTTTCGGGGGTGCGACCGAAGAAAAATTAATCTAAAATGAAATCTTGGATCGTTTAATATTATATAGTAGCTGGTACACGTACCCTATATGCACGTTGTATAATTTATTTATAAGCGTGTTCACGGGATTCGACACAATTTCGTACCCAATAAAAATTATAATTTAGTATCTCAGAAATACATCTTATCGATTTCAGTGATCAAGTGGGAACTAATTTCAAAAAAAAGTAAAAAACATCATATTTAATACAATTATTATAATGTATAATATATAATATTATATACAGTATACATCGGGGTCAAAACATATGGGCTTCAATGCTTTTAAACCTATATAATATTATGTAGAATACGTAAACATAGAAATCCTATTCCGAAGATTACGTAAGTTTTATTCAAGACGTCATATAATACCAGACCCCCTGCTAAAGGTTTTTTCTTTCTTTAATTTTCGACGCAGTGTATTCTACGTTTCTTATTTTTCACGTCTACATAGGAAGTATTCGCGGAAGGGGAGGGGGCGGTTCGGGAAGTGCCGAGCTGCTGTTGCAGCGGCGTCGTGTACAATATATATATATATATTATATAATATACACGTACACAACACACGAATTCGATTTTACGTTATATATTTTTAATGTTAATATTTTTCGAATCGATGAGCGCACACGTTCGCCATGGCACTCGTAATCTAGGGAAAAACGCGAGCACGTACAACATATACGTATAATACGTATATATAGGTATATGGTTTTATTGTCTGCGCGTTGCCATTGTATGATAACCACGTACAAGCCGCCGACCGCAAGGGGACGAACGGGAGAAAACATCATCGACATATGCATGTAATTTCGGTTAATTACGGAAAACGGTTTTTGGAAAACGGGCGGCAACGAGCGTGGTGAGTGGGGGGAGGAGGCTAACCATGCCTCAGTGGCGTCATTGTCCGCCGCGTGTGCAGCACACAATGCCGAAATTACTATATATATGGTGGCAGGAAAAGAGGAAAATTCACGCGTCAAAAAAAGTATAGATATATATTGTATTTACCTGAAATGGGAAATGAATAATTGGTTTTATTTTTTAACTTATTTGTATAAACTCAGATCTGCAGAAAAAAATGTTCTTTTTTATTATTCGATCTTTTCACAAAAATGTTATTGATAAATGAACTGCGACAAGGTATTTAGAAAATGTAATAATCAATTTTAACTCGATTATTATATTAGATAATGTTTGATTTTCGCAAATGAGCGATTTAAAAAAAATGTGCACACGTTATGCAAGTTATAAAAAAAAAATTCCATTTGAATAGAAATTCAGCATGATTAAAACTGAGTTTACAATGTTCTGGGACATATACTGCTGGATGTATATGCGCGTACCTATATATTATATAAGCGTTGAGAAGTGAAACGACGACAGCAAAGGGATTGAATGAAAAATTAAAACTATATTTTTCTCGCATAACTACACTGCACCACCCAACAACGACGACTACGACGACGATGATTATGACGATGACGGTAATTGAATTAACTAAATCAATAGGTTCTGGTCCGTGAGTTTTAGTGTAACGATGGCTGTTACGGTGAGGAACGCAGATACGATTGGGTGAGTGAGTGGACGACGACAGGGGACGTCCGTTTGAAATGAAAATAAAAACAGTCAATTGTTGATGGCAATACTATTATTATTATTATTATTATATATTCGATTGGTGGCATACGCGAAGGTACAAACGAATGTATATGAAATGAAAATAATAATAAAAGCCTTGATTCATATTCATTTGATAAACCCTTCCTTTATGATAATACATTATTTTTTTCCCGGCATACATTATATTATTACGACGTATACGTCGAGACACGTCAGAATGTAATTAGCTAATGGGTTGTCATCTGTACAACGAATATTATGGGCACCGGGGCACGGTAGAGTTAATGATAATAATAATATTATGTACAACGCTATATTTACCATACTGTTTGCGGGGATATTCTCATCATAAAAGCTAAATGTTTCATAAAGATATTATTACACCGTGTAGTGTTAATTATTTGCCCGATTGAACACTGCATAACATTATACACGTAAAACCTAAACCTCACTAGCTTGTATAGTGCATGTATACGTAAATATTATAATATTATGTATGTTTAATTTATAATCATCGTACCGCCCCGAAAAGCAATAACAGGATAGCGTATACAGAATATAATAAGAATCGATAATATTGGGTTTAAAACGGCGACGATAAAACGTAAATATTTTTTTTTCATCAGAATCTTATAATTATTTTAGGTTTGGATTAAAAAGTTTAATTAAAATTTAAATACGATCTCGAGTGTTTGGTTAAAAGTTTTTATTTTTTCAAAAAATATATATAATAAATTATTTTACCAAGTTTTTATGATATTCGGATAATATGTAAATTATTTGTTGTGTTTCGATACGATTCTTTTAGTTACCTAACTATTTTAATCATTATCGTGGTATATAGTGGTTATTCAACAACTGTTTTTTACCTAAAAAAAAGTATTTTTGTTGTCAATACTTCTATATTATATTATTACCATAACATAATGTTACACGCTTACATAGTAACAATATTATGAAATATAAAAATATCGAATCAATTTACCCTCTCATTAATTGTTGGTTTAAGATACCTGATTAAAATATCAGGTCAATTAAAAACGAAACAAAAAACAATAAGAAAAAAGTGTTTAACGTAACTACGTATTTTGCAACGGTAAGAAAAATTCAACTAACATCTTTCAATTGGCGTGTAAAACTTTTAAAATGTGAAAAAACCACACTTCAAAAAAAAAAAAAAAAACATTGTGCAGCATATATACACATCAAAATAAAAATCACTATATATATTTATATATACTATATAGGTACTAAACGGCAGAAGGAAGAAAAGAAATAGGTATATATTAGTATTATAGTCGTGTGCTATGCTTAATCACTACTGTGAGTTTGATTGAGACTAATCATCTCCACGTTAAAGTAGGAAATAGTATATACTGTGCAAAATCTACGTACGTCAAAAAAGTGCAATCAAAACACAAAAGGTGCAAAACATCAAAAAAAAAAAAAAAAAAAAAATTAAAAAATAGTGTATACATTTAGAC